GGAGGATACATCTCAACTCTGACTCAATATTCCCACAGATAAAGTCTCCTGAAGATGAGTTCATAATCCAGATATCAATCTACCATTAATGAGTCAGAATACAATTGCAGCAGAACTACAAATTTCAAATCATAAAACTAACAGAGACTGTAAAATATGTTTAAATCATTAAATATATGAAAGAATAAAAATATGATAAGAAAAAAAGATAATATCAAGACCAACTGGAAAGAGCTGAAAAAGACCAAAAGAACTTTTAGGGATAGGACATGTGGTTTTTGAAATATAAAACTCCATGTCAGTTAAATAGCTGATGAGACAAGCTAAGAAGAATTAAGAATTGAAAGAAAGACCTGAAAAAATTACCTAAAATATAGCTTAGAGAGATAAAGGTAAAAATACAAAAAAGGTTATATTTGATATGGGGGATAGGATTAGAAATCATATATATATGCTAAGAATTTCTTTCCAGTAAAATAATAGAAATAGGTGTATTATGTCCGAAGCAGTGAGTGGGACAAGAAAACTATCAATTAAAAAGAAGGCAAGAAAGGAGAAAAAGGAAACAAAGTAGGATAGATAGAAAACACAAAATAATGACAAAAACAATTATAATATGTTAGTAAGCACAATAAATATTAAGGTATTAAATTTGCCTATTAAAAAATGTAAAATATCAGATTGGATTGAGTCACAATTAAAGCAAAACGACATAAAAGGCTGAAAGTAAAAAATGGAAAAAAGTTATAACAGCTGTTATTTTAAGTAAAACAAAATCTCTCAGACTCTTTGAATATAGAACTCAAGGGGAGTCATAAGATTATATGAATGTGGGTAAAATTGCAATATTTTCAGAATTTCTCACCTGGCTTTAATGCATCTCCCTATCGATCGGGTGTTTCCAAGGGGTGGAAAGAAATAGTTCATCTCCATATCAATAGGTAATTACATGGGTGAGCAGAGGGTTTAGAGAGGTTTGGTGGAGCCCTCTCTTCTTCTGTAGTTGGATTGAGAGAGACACAGGACCAGTGCTTGTAAGAAATAAATGGGTTTCTTAAACTTTATTTCTCCCTTTGACTGATTTCAGTTTCAAAAGTACTTTGCCCTGGGATTTTTTCCCAGAGTTACAATGAATGAGGGGAGAGGAGGTAAATCCAAACCCTCTTTTTGACTAACAACAACAAAACTTACAAATACATGTCTTTGGCAAAATAGTGATGTTGTTTTAAAAGGTAATTTGTAAGTAACAATTTGTCAAGCAAGGCAAGATTGGAAAGGCAGACAGACATTGCAGAGGTACAGGTTACATTTTATAGGATGTAGCAACATTATCTAAAGTCTATGCTTTGTATTTTACAAATAACATTTGTAAAAGACCCACTATTGTAAGAAAAAATAGAACATGTTTCACACGTGTTTTTGAACAGGAGACAAGAATAAATTCTAGAATTTAAATTCTTTTCTATAGCTACTTAAAACATACTGTTTTCCATCACAAAGCTAGCTCTGATAAAGGGATAATTTGAGAACATTTTAAAACTATAATTCATTAGATTGTTGCAAATTAAATATGAGTGAAGATCACATCAGACCTTGACCATTCTTTACATAAGGTAATCAAGGCAAAGTACATATTAAAAACAGGGTTTTTGACATACAATGCCTACAAATGAACTACAGTACATTATACTCAAGCATAGAAGTCACCCCCACTTATCATACTACAACTTTGTTTAAAAAAGACTCGTCTTGCAAAATAAATACAGTATCATGTAATATTGAAACCCAGTCCATATATATTCTCTGACATTTCAGTTCAAATTTTCACATAAAATGGATTGTGTTGTCTAACAAACAATTTAAAATATATCTAACCAGTAACACCATTTAAAGCTCCCTTTCATCACACTATTCAAAAATGCTGTTATCTTTTTGAGGCAAATTATTCCTCATTTTGATGAGTTTCATATTTATAGTCTACATTATAAATTTTGCTAGTCTCACTTCATCCAAATTAAAAATTTTATTGGGGCTTTTCATAAATAGCCTTTAAAATTTTTATTGTATAGATTGATTGCCTAATGCAGTGTTTCTCAACCATTTTTTCATCATCACTCTCCTAAAGCTTTGTAGATACTTTTTCCCTAATTACCCCTACCCATAAAATTTTAATTTCTGTTTATATACTATATGCATATCCATGGTTTATTCATTAAAAGAATAAATTTTTCATTCTCCCAATAACCAATTTTTTCCCCTTTGGTGGCAATATTGCCCCCTTTGAGAATGCATGGCCTAAAGGAACATTATGGAAAAAATGTTTTATATTATTTTAAGTTTTACAATGAGTCTCAAGCCCACGTGTTTTCTTTTTCTAGTTGCCTGCCTCTCAAACATCACACGGTGACCACTCCAACACTACTACTGTGGGGAGAGAAGAATGCATTTATGGAGGTTGAGATGGTTGAAACCACAAAGATTTATGTTAAAAACTATTTCAGGCTAACTATTTTATCAGAAGTCAGTCATTGGCTTCAACAAGAACAACCTGACATTGTGAACAAATTGATATGGACATTTCTAAAAGAAGAAACAAGAAAAAAAGATTGACTTTTCTATATCTTCTATGAGGGTTCTGTAATGAAATATTTAAATAATTTTTAAAATTGTTCATCAACTTCTTTAAGCTACATTAGGAAATATTGTTTTAATATGTTGTATCATAAATAAATATTGTGACAAATGATATTAAAAAAATCTGAGAATGTGTAAACTTGTGACCTTATTATTTTCTTCTGTTGTATTTTGCACAGAAAAGCATCTGCCTTAAAATGTATACACTGGTACGAAAGGGAAGTCAGGGAAAGTGGCTTAGTTTTAGTTTCTTGCATTCTTTATCTTGTTAATATACAGTGCCTTTTACAAATTTATGTGAAAGATTAGCTGTGCCATATTAAAAGGCAAACCTGTAATGGTATAAATTTTCAATTTATTGTTCAAGGTTCTTTTGAACCACTTCTTTTCCATTTTTTTTTGCCATTAAAAATTCTGTTGTTTTTTGTATTTATAGAATGCTTATTAGTTTGAAACAAATATAACTAGATGAAAATGCATTCTTAAAATGGGCCATAAATACTACTTATACTGGGAAGATTAACAAGAGATGATGGGAATTTCTCATATGTACATATATACTTATTAAACATTGCAAAGTAGGGAAGCTCACCCATTGAATTATTTGTCTTAATTTTCTACTAAATTAGTGAGAGATTTAGGAAAAGAATCAGAATGTTTTTTTGCCCCATTCAATGTAACAAGAATTAAATACTGTACTTCTATGTGTACTGGAATCTAAGTTCTACCGGGTAGACATTTTTTCATTGTTTTATTAACTGACATATATCCAGCATCTAGAATAAGGGCCTGGCTCATTTCAGGCACTCAAATATTTGCTTAATGAATAAACAATATATCTGACACAGTGCTAGGCACTGTGGGGGACATATAAAAGAGGGATGATACAGTAATTGGAACCTTCTCTTAAGCATACACAGAATACAGTTAAATTAAACAAGGGCTCAAGAGTAATGGTGAACATTCAAAATAAGAGTGTGAAGAGTTATAGAACAGAGGATGATACCAGCTCAAGGGACTGCAACTCACTCTCTTGGGCTACTCTCCTTTGGTGTGGGAGACAACTGGAAACATCGCCAAAACATAGCTCCCTGGAGACCACAGCTGTGTTTCCAAATAAGACTAAGTTGGTAAAAGGCGAATAGTTCCTTCACTAACCATAGTTCTGTTGTGACAGAAGAAAGTGTAATGTCCCTGAAAGTTCTCATTATGGTATCCTAGCAACTTGTATTTACTAATACAAATCCATTTTTCCATATACATTATACTTGTGCCTCATACAAACATGGCAAGGTAGAGGTATCACCAATTTATAGATATGAAAATGAGGCTGGTCAGTGTCCATAGTGTAAGTGTTGGAACCAGGATTGGACCTGGATCCATCTAGTTGTAAAGCCCATAATCTTTCCATTTGGATCACATCCTGTTTAACAGGTTCCGGTATCCACACTGTTCTGTTTTACTGGTAACCTGGTGTGCTCCAATAAACAGAAACAGCTACAGAAGCCTACAATTTGACTTTTAATTATGGAAACGATTTAAAATAGTGATTATCAAACACAGGAATATTCCATATCGCGCTGTCAGAATTGCAAATTTTTCAAGGTATAAAGAGAGCATGGTGCACACCAACTTTGATAAGCTTCCCTCTTGATCATCTCCAAAGCACAGCGTGAAGGAATAAGACTATTGATTGTATGTGTTGACTCAATAAAATAATCCTGACTTATTTTAACCAAAACCTGAGACTGACAAAGGTGATATTAAGGTCTGTTGCTGTTCAGCAGTTTGAAGTGCTGGCTGGTTCACGGGGACTAATGTTAAGACTAGGAATCAAAAGTGCAATGGCTAATTCTGGCTTATGATAATGGACATATTCTAATTTTCAGTGAATGTAGAAGAGTGTTTATAACAGATAATAAAGGCTCAAGGGTGCCATCAACTAAATCTTTTAGCATAAAGAGATACACTGTCTCTGTAGCAATTTGTAGGGAGAGTAAATGAATTTGACTTAACAGCTGCCAAAGCATGTCCCAGTAAGAAAACTCAACTAGTAATGGCATTTAAGCTGAAAAGTTGTAATTAGTATTTACCTATTTAAGTTACTATATCCCTAGTAGGAGACATAATATATGCTCAATATAAATGCCAGAAATTGTTTTGTGAAAATAATTAAGCATATATGTTAAAAGGAAGACATTAACAAAAAGCAAAAAAGATTATACTGTTGATATAGGTCTAATCTTCCTGTTTCATCATTCACTATTTTTTATTTTTTTGATTTTAAAGGTAATACATCATTTCCTATTAGCCCACAATTGCCTCTTAGGAGTTCTAATTACGTGCGGACAAAAAGAGCACTTGGTATGGGGAAGGGGTGCTCTCCGGAGGCCACCTCCGGATCCCAGCTCCTCTCCCCTGAGACCACTAAACTTGGCTTTATGGACCAGCCATTCCCGGACCCTGAGATGGAGGCATGGAAGTCTGTCCTCAGCCAGAGGGCGATCAAATCCTTGTACCCACCAGCGGCCAGCCCCTTCGTGCAGCGCACGCCCATCAGTGCGAAGCGCCGGTCCTCCTCTCCTCACAGGGGCTGGGGGCCGTATCGCCTTCCTCTTCCTTCTGCTCTGGCCAGTGGCCTTGCTTCCCACCATAGGCCATTCCACTCAACCAGCCAATCCTGCCTTGAGTTGAAGAAAAAAACTGTTGCATCCAGCCCTCAAGTTCTTGTTCCAGGCGATGTTCTTTTCAGCAGGGTTCCTGGTCAAAGTGAAAGGGAGAAAGGCAACGCAAGAGGAGGCCCCTATCCTCGTGACAGCGCTGCACTCCACTTTCTTTGACACAATCGCCTGTGTGTGGTGGCAGAGGTCCCCTCGGTGGTGTCAACAAATCAAAACAGCAGATCCCAGTGCCCGGGAAACTCCTACTGTTCACACAGCCGGTGCTTGTGACCCGCGAAGACCAAATTCCAGGCAGAATACCCAGAATGAAATCCTGAGGCAGGTGACATCCCAAAGGAAGTGGCCACAGATTCTGATTTTCCCGGAAGGAGTGTGTACCAATCACACCTGCCTTATCACTTTTAAACTAGGGGACTTCTGTCCAGGTATCCCTGAAGAGGCAGTGCTGCTTAGATACCCAAACCCCCTGAACACAGTGACCTGTACCTGGCAGGGCTTTACAGGCTTCCAGGTCTTTGTGCTGACCCTGAGTCAACTCTTCACCAGGGTAGAAGTTGCATTCATGCCTGGTTATATTCCAAATGACCAAGAAAAAAATATCCCATCCTTTTTGCCAGTACTGTGCGAATCAACATGGCAAATGCTCTGGGAGTGCTGTCACAGACCATATATATCAAGACTTTTCAGAGCCCTTGAGACAACTTTTTGCTCTCTTTGACAGGAATAATGATGGCAGCATAGATTTCAGAGAGTATGCGATAGGTCTGACTGTCCTATTTAGTCCTGCCAACATTGAACAGATTCTGCAAATGTCATTTAAGCTTTTTGATCTTGATGACGATGGTTTTATAACAGGACAGGAGTTAAATACTATACTTTCGGCAGCTTTTGGCATGCCAGATCTTGATGTTTCCAAACTCAGGAAATAGCTGGACAGAATTCAGACTACATATCATACAAGAGCTTTAAGAAATTTACCCTGAAGCATCCAGAATATGCCAAGTTATTTAATTCATACTTAGACCTCCAGGCAATCTACATATATTCATTACCACATGTACAAGTTTAATTTCTGTATTCAAATGTTAAAGTCAGCCCTGAAAATGGTGAAAGTACCTGCCAGGTAGAAACTGTGATTGAAATAAAATTTATTCTTAGGAAAATAGTTTTTAAATATTTTGGGTACTTAAACATGATACTTAAAATGTGCTTGAGGAATGTGTATTTCAAGTAGATTTTATAGTATCTGTTTACCTTCTTTCTTAAGATAGGTTTGTTTCAGTATGTCTAAAGCAAGAATAATAAGAGATCTAGTCATAAGCCTTGTATACCCTGCTTGGTTTTAGTTAATGCCTCTATTTTGTTTAGTGCTAAACTAATACCAAAGGAACATTATAGCCCATCACCTCACCCTCATTTTGCAGAGAAAATATCTCATTAAGAGCTTCACTGGCAACAAATAATTAAATTCTCCTTTTTATTCTCTCCAAAAAGGATCTTTTGGATAAATGCCTCTTTGTTATTTCTCAAAGTAGCCTGAAAGTTCTTTTTTACAAGACGAAATAAAAATAAACCTCAGGAAGATGTAGTATTTGGAATACCATTGAAACAGGATAGGATATGACTGCCCTTTTAAAATTAATTTTTTTAAATAAAAAAATGATTAATTAGAATGAGAAAAATCACAACAGCCTACAATTTCTCAAAAGCTAATGCAACAGATAAGTTATAAATACAGCAGTTTTCACAAATTCTATTTTGTATAATTCTCATCAAAGGGGAAAATTTGTATTTATAATTGCATGTTCTGCATTACTGAGAATATTCCTTTTGTTCTGACTAGGCACAGATGAGAACTGAAGCCTCTACTTACTCCTTCACTACCTATATACTTCCAGCACTCTCTGCTGTAAGACATGTTCATACATGTGACCTTAGGCCCTACCCCTTCATGTCACCATGCAGTATGAATCAGGGAAGTATTCCTAGAAGCCATTCCTATACCAGGACAGGAAGCAACAGCTTACCTAGATGTGGAAGTGATTGTGAACCAATAAATATTGGTTCCTAACCCTCCTAACCCAAACTACTGTATCTCCAATTTTGATTCATTGTGGCTGAATCCACAAAATGCCTGAAGCTACTCAGCACCACTGCCTATGAGGGGACATTTGACTAAGGACATCCAAAAAATCACTGTTTTTTTAGGAAATAGTCCTTGGAGGAGTTTTTTGCCTTCCAAGGCAATTTTACCTAAATTTATTTTTCACACTTGAGACAATTAAGGCTAACCTTAAACAAAATTATTGATTTAGCTGTGTTTACTTTCAGAGAGCCTGTTGCTAGTTTCTTAGGAATCTCTTTTCTTCCTAATCAAAAAGTCAGGAAAAGAAACCTGGTAACGTCACTTACGTTAAGGTATAAATGACTACAAAGCCTCAATTAATTGAAAGAGAAAGAAATGCCTTAAATAAAAAAATCTCTGATGAAATGTGAAGCATCATTGATGTTTTTTAAAAAGGGTATGTACTTTTTCTTTAATCCCTTCACATAGTCAGCTGCCTAAGGTAGTTTTTAAATTACATGGACCAAAAACCATTCCATCATTCATTCTGAACCAGAGGTTACTTCTCCACCTGTTTCTTCAACAGCTGATAAAGGGGCATTGTAGAAATCTTGCATGACTTTGAAGTCTGGTGCTAGGCTACCTGAATTTTAATACCCAGACTGCCACTTACTGGCTGTGTCTTGCCAGTTACCAATCTTGTCATCCCTCAACTTCCTCACCTATAAATTGGGCTCATAGCAGTACCTAACTAAACAATGGTTGTGAAGATTGATTGAATTAATACATATAAGCAGGTAAAGCAATTTTCTCACCTAATAAGCACTTAATAAATACCTACTATCATCTCTGACACTCCTCTTTTCTAAAGGAATATTTAAGAATCCATTATCCAGTTATGTTTTTCAGAATTAAGGTGTCCAAATATTTGAGAGGGGCCTTATTTGGAGAAATGGTTACTTCTTGACCAATCATGCAGTTCAAGGTCCATGTATTTTTCTTTTCTTTTCAGAATTTTTTTTAAGTATTGTTGATATACAATCTTATATTGGTTTCAAATGTATAACATAGTGGTTCAATAGTTATCTTTATTATTAAATCCTCACCCCCTCTAATGTGGTTACTATCTGTCAACATAGAAAAATGTTACAGAATCACTGACTATATTCTCCATGCTGTATTACTATCCCCTTAACCAACTTATGTTGTGATTGCAAATTATTGTGCCCCTTTATTGCCCTCCCCCTCCCCTGCCCCAGTCCCTCTCCCTTGCTAACCACTAGTCACTTCTCATTGTCTATGAGTCTACTGCTTTGTCCCTTGTTTTCTTTGTTTTTATGTTCCACAAATACGTGAAATCATATGGTATTTGTCTTTCTCCACCTGGCTTATTTGACCGAGCATAATACCCTCTAGAGCCATGCATGTTGTTGCATATAATTGACTGTATACACATGCATTTATATCTGGGCTTTCTATTCTGTTCCACTGATCTATGGGTTGGTTCTTGTGCCAGTATCAAACTATTTTCATTACTGTAGCTTTATAGTAGAGCTTGAAGTCACGGAGCATTAATCCCCCCAGCTCTGTTCTTCTCTCTCATGATTGCTTTGGCTATTCAGAGTCTTTTGTGGTTCTATATGAATTTTAGAACTATATTCTAGTTCACTGAAAAATGCTGTTGGTGTTCTGATGGGGATTGCATTGAATCTGTAAATTGCTTTTGTCAGGATGGCTATTTTGACACTATCAATTCTTCCATCCGTGAGCACAGGACAGATTTCCACTTATTTTCTCTCATGAATGTCTTACAGCTTTCAGAGAACAGGTCTTTCACTTCCTTGGTTAGGTAAGGTCCATGTATTTTCCAAGCAACGGGTATTTGTAACCGTGTGCAAAGCTTCTGAATGAAGAACTATTGAACTTTTTTCTTTGGAGGAAATAAACTTAAAAATACCAGAAGACTTTTAAATGATACCCACTTGAGCTATTTTCTTCAGGCCAAAAAAGTCAAAATTATATGTCACCAAACCACCCCTTACCTGTTCAATTAAAGTTTCTGCCCCTCCAACCTTACCTCCTTCTCTCCTCCTCATAAAATGTTATGGCTTCATATGCAAAGCTCTGGAATATAACCTGTCATTTTTCAGCTGAAGTTCTGTAGCAGTTATATGACCCACTCTCTGGATGAGAAAGGATGGGCCCTCCAAGGTTACACACCCTTTGCAGGGAACTCAGGAGTGTTCGGACTCCAGCTGATTTTATGACATTTTTTTCCTCCCGCCGTTCCCTCCAATTTTTCTTGCCCAAAGCAACTAAGTGCGGAAGTAACTCGCAGCAGGAAAGATCTTCTAAACTGGTCTTTTCTGGGAAAAAAAATTCCTGACATCCCAGTTAGAGTGTGGAAAGGCTTCGCAGGTTAATTTGAACTCAGCTCTCAATGAAGCACCATGAATTAACATGATGGTTAGCACCGACCGAAAACTAACAGAAGATAAGGGAATAACGAGCCAGAAGGACTAGTTGGACCCCGGGGATGGGTTGCTCCCTGGGCAATACGGGGCATGGTGCCCGCTGGCAATGGTAAACAGGGCTACCGCGCCTGCGCACACCCTGTCAGGGTCACGTGCTCGCCCGCCCGCCTCTGCGGTTCCCCGGGTCTGAGATCCGCGGCCATAAGGGACCGCCTACAAACAGACCGGAGGCGTCAACTTTTCCCCTCAGTGGGCGGGTTCGGGTAGGAACGGGGCGTTGGGTCTGAAACGCCCCCTTCTTCCAGAGCCGGGGAAGTGCCGGGGGCACCGGGCCTGCGGGGTGCGGCCGCCCCTTCGTGGGATATGGCCCGCTGTGGGGAGGGTAGTGCGGCCCCCGCAGTGATTCTGGGGTCCCCTGGAGTTTGCAGCAAGGAGTTGCAAAGAAAGGGGCCCTGTGAGCGGCGCCGGCTGAAGGCGATGGTGTCGGAGCAGCTCAGCCAGGATCTGCTCAGGTAGGAGGAGGCGGGAACTCTGGCTGCTGCACTTTTAAGGCGCCCACCTCCTTCCCAGAAGCCGCGTCTCCTGCTCTCCATCCTGCCCCTCCTCCTGCTCCTCGCCTCAAGCTACCGGCGGACGGGGACGTTCACGTCCTCCTCTCTACTGAGAGGTTCGCCAGCCCTAGTGACCGGTCCCGAGCACCTCGGAAACCCAAGTACCGGATTCAAAAAGAAAAATTAACGGTTATCCGCAGCCCAGATGATGCCAGAATACTCCAACTGATCAGGCTTGGTTTTTGAAACATCGCTAAGGTCGGGGTGATGGGGTGGGTCCAGGCTTCATGGTCCTGAACCGTACAGTTTTTTAATAAGCTTAAACTATTTTGAGAAATAAAATTAGATAGAAAAAAGTGGATATTTATTTAGAGTGAGGAAAAGTAGAACAACCTACTGGAGCCTTGGAGGTATCTTTCTAACGATTTCTTTTTAAACAGTATACCAGAAACGCTTACTTAGAAATATCTCCTGATTGCAACTTGCCTTCCCCTCTGCACTTGGGACCCCCAACAGCTCCCAGCAACTCCCAGCTCCCAGTAAGACCCAAGCAAATGGACCGCCGTTGTGAATCTTGACTCAGACTGTGGTGAATCCAGCTAATTTACCTCAATTTTTATAAAGGAAATGAAAATTGGAAACCTCCTAGCTATTTTACATTTTCACTGAAACATTGATTCTTGAATTTTAGTGTGCATCAAAACCTGGAGAGCTTGTTAAAACAGATTTACTGGGTCCCAGACAATAGTTCTCATTCAGTTGGTCAGAGATGGTGCGGAGATTTTTGCATTTTTAACAAGATCTCAGATGATGGTGACACGAACACTGCTGGCCTGGGTCATAGTCTGAGAACTACTGAACGAGAGTAAACAAAATCACGACTCATAACACTAGTGCAGCATCCTGTGTTTAAAAAGTAACCCACAGTTAAGGCTCCAGCAGCTATAAGCTCAACTTTGTAAAGTTAAAGAAAATTCTGGTTAATTTGAGCCTATTGACCAGAGATGCTGCTGTGTCACCATCAGTGGGGGATTGATGGGAGAGTTGGAAAAGTAAGACTGAAATTGTACTGTTTCTAGAATGAATCTCTAAGGATGGCTCCTTCTCTTCAGTGGCTTTATTCTTCTGGCTTGTATTGTTAGCTTTAAAGTGTCACAAATTTAAGGAAGGTAACACATTTAATTGTATAAAGAAAATGGGGTTAGAAGTATAGTAGATGAACAATTTATTCTTATCCTAGCAGCAATTAAGGATAGGACCCAAACTCCCAAGTTTTATGACAAGCAAGCAAAGAAAAATAGATGCAGCAGGTTTTTTTTTTTTTTAAACAGAAAAGCTTCAATAAAAAAAAAAAAAGCTTCATATGCTTCCCCAATCACCTTAAAAAGTATGTTAACTTAATCTTCAGGTACAGCAATATAATTGATTTGTTCTACAGACATTAATGCGGTAATGACATAGCTTTGGTGTTTGTGCTTATGCTCTAGTGAGAGAGGTGACACAAGTGATGGGACTGCGGTGAGTGTGGAAGGCTTTAATGGGTGACATTTGAGTGATCTCTTGGGGATTAAAATTTGATTAGGTACAGGTTAGGAAGGGAGAATTCAGAGGGTATCTAAAAAAGGGAAATGTCTTTCAAAGGCACAGAGACTTTGAAGAGCTTGATTTAATTTGGGAGAGCAAGGAACAGAGACACCTCTGAGCTACCTGAGGTGATAGGGTACATGGAGAAGTAAGGAAAGACAGGAAACAGTTTCAACAGTCAAAAAGCCAGATCTCATGTAGAATTGAAAAGTTACTTGGGATATAACAACTTTGAGACCTCACTGAGAAATGGACCGTTATTCAGGACAATTCTAATAGAAATAGCTAATACTTACAACCATCCTACTATTAGCTAGACACTGAGCTGACATGTAATGTTTTATTTACTCCCATATAAGATAAGTCATGTTATTACTCCCGTTTAGCAGATAAGGAAATTGAGCATTAGAGAAGTGGTGGAGTCAGATTAAGAATTTTGGCAGTCTGGCTCCTGAGACATTAAAATGACTTGTCCAAGATTACATGAACAGAATATGAACCCTGTCAGTCGGCCTTCTCTAAACTCATTATGCAAGCTGATCTTCCAGTAACTTTGCTCCTTCATTTCTGCTTTTCTCCTTATTCATTTCTTTTTCTTATTTTGCCTTATATTTGATATGTAAACTCTCTTAGAGGGTGATAGTTGTTCCCTGCTTATTATAGAACATCTTTGGCTAGAGTTAACTTCATTAACTGCCACATTCTCTAATGGCTAACCCTGGCTCAGTCCATTGTCCATTCAGGTGTGGTTAAGAGCATCAGGGTCAGACGGTACAAAGCAGGGCCGTATATAAATACTAAATGAATTTTGAGCTTTATTTGGGAAAGGGTTGTGGGTATGGTAAGCAATCAGAGTAACAGAATGGGTAAACTAAAACTACGTTATGGAGAACTCCTTTCTTGAGTGAAGAGTTTGTAATGTATTCTGGAAGCAGTGGAGAGATTGGTGTTTTAAAATAGAGGATTAACATATTTAGATCTTGAATTGAGGAAAGAGAAACTGGAAACAAGAAAACCAGCTAGTAGATTGTATAATAGGAGGTACATAATGGTAGTGGAAATGGAAAAGGTGAAAGGGATTCCATGTGCAGTGACTGACTTGGTGAGCAGTTGCATATAGAGGTATGGGGAAAAGGAAGCATAGAAGATGGTGCCAAATTTAAGGAAATTTAAAAGGGGGAAGTACGGCAAGTGGTCAGGAAGCCATATCCAGGAGACAATTGGAAATATGTCTGGAGTTTAGGAGGGAGGTTGGAATTAGATTAAAAGGCAGGTGGCAACAACAGCACCCAGTCGTCCAAGCCAAATACTAGGGATCTTGGGTTATTCCCTCCCCTTCACCTTCCACATCCTGTTGCTCACTCTGGCAAATTTCATTACCTAAATATATTTCACTTCCATTGCTATTCCCTCTCGCCATTGATCCTTTCCTGGCTCATGCCATTTACACCTCATTCATTCTGTGCCATAGTTTTCTCATTTTCATTGTCATTTCCCCCTAATTCCTCTTCCATACAACCGACAGGTGGTGGTGGTATTTTGAAAAATATACTTGTCCGTGTTTCAAACCATTTGGCGATTTCCCTTCAAGGGTAAGATGGAGTTAAGTTCTTTGGCTGTTATTCATCTTTATCTATGCAGCTTCATCTGTCACTTTTCACCTGCTCAGTACCCTCGGCTGACCGATTTATAGCTCCACACTTACATGTACCTTTGTAAGGAGCATGGAGCCACAGAACTCCCTCCTACCTTGACCAGCTTCCCTGTCCAGCTCTTATTCAGTCTTTAAAACCCCATTTGGTTTTCATGTCCTCTATGTCTTCTCTTATATCTATCTCTGAAAAAATATTATTTATTCCTACTACTGAATATATCACACTCTTTTAATTTTCAGGCCTGGCTTCCCTACTATTCTGTAAAGCCCCTGAGGACAGATACTATGTTTTAAGCATCTTGATATCTCCAGTGCTTAGGACATGGTATGTGCTCACTAAGTGTTTAGTGATAACTGGGTTAAATCAGCAGTCTAAAATGCTTTAGATAGGTTAATAGAGTAGTTGGGAGAAATTGAGATGGAAAGAAGATGTCCTTTGTCTAGACTTCACTATTAGATAAACCAATAACCCCTTTACTATTAGAAAACCCCCTCAGTGTGTAGTACAGTCTGAGTCAGACATTCTGTTACTTGTAACAGATATAAGATAACAAGTAGTTTTATAAAATAAAAAGCACTATACTTTCACATTTACATTGTTTTTTAACATAGTAACTTTTCATCATTTAACAAATACATATGAGAATCTATTATGAACAGGGCAAATTCCCTAGTGATGGTTATATGGCCACCAGCTGCAGTGCCTCCTCTTCCCCTGGGGAGGAGTAGGGGATGGGGAGAAGATGGGTGGGAGGGAGGAAAGATCCTTTTCAATAGTCAGAGACAAAAGATTATGACAGTTTCTATTATTCTAAATGTAAAATTAAATATTTGTACAATTTGAGTTTTTATTAATATTTGAGAGACCAATACACTTTTGTATAACTTTAAAAATCTCTTAAGAAAATAATTCAGTGATGAAAATATCAACTTAAATGCATCAGTTTGTTCATTGTTTCCAAGGTTCTGAAAGCTTTGTGGTCCGAAGCATTTGTTTTGTTTAGGGCAAAATACACCAAATTAAACAAGCAGACATTGAGTTGAGCTCTTGCTATGTACTGAAGATACACAGTTTTTGTCTTTGGGGCATTCATTGTCTAGTAGGGAGAAAGACATTATTGTAAAAATAATAATGATGCAGTGACAGAAGTGCAGTAATAGAGATATGTACTGAGTGTGATGGGATCCAAGGAAGGAGCCATTAACTTGGTCTTGAGGGATTGTGAGTGTCAATGGCAACATTCTAAGCTTTCCCTATAATGGATATCTTCATCCATTACTTGTACCTCCTGTAGTGGACTGGTGTGATTGCCAATTATATCCTGCAATACAGAAGTCCTCTGGGAATATGTAACTTGCTGATGATAATGTTACATTGATGTGAAATATTAATTTAGTAGAGACAAAAGATTATGGCAGTTTCTATTATGATGGTGATTTCTGTTCTTCCATAACTTTACATGTACAATGTGCTTTACCATAACTATGTCTATCCACTAGTAAAGGGATTTGAGTGGATTTCCCCCAAGAGTCCATCGTTTTAATAATAGATCAGTGCATACTTTTATTTGTGGGAGGTGGGGGGAGTAAAAAATGACTTTAATGTCACATTCTTGACAGCCAAGCCTGGATTTCAGACTTGGTATTTAACAATAGTTAGAACAAAGTATACAGTTTCAATCTGGATTGTCTATTGTTATATCTGGTTTGCTGGTCTCTGACTGTTTTCTTTTTTTCGCTTCAGTTTTGGTAAGGTTTTTAAAAGCTGGTTCTTTTCAGTAGTCAGTGACCATATTACTTTGTGCTCTTTTTCCAAAATAAATGCAGAAGTAGGTACGTTGTAAAGGCAAATCAACACAAGTAGAAGATAAACTTCATCATTAGAAGAAATTATAAAGAAAAGATATCTTTTGAAAATATAGTCTTAGTTTTTTAATACAATTACCTCTGTTTTCACTATAAGTTTTAGAAAATTAGGTTCTAGCCAATATTAAAGTATTCTTTGGAATGAACTGAGCACAAACTCATTTTCATAATAACTTTTTTTGTTATATGTTACCTCTGTATTTTTTAGTGTTTTTTAAAACTTATTTTATAAAAATGGGTATATTATATGTATCTGAACATTACTAATTAAACTGTGGTTCCTTTTTCTTCCTTACAGGCTTCTAAGGGAAGAAACCCATACAGATGTTACTTTCTCTATAGGTCGTACTTTGTTCAAAGCACACAGAGCCGTCCTTTTAGCAAGGGTTCCTGACTTCTATTTTCATGCTTTTGGACAGGTATCAAATAGTTTAACAAATCATGAGCCTGTTGCTGTAGAGAACTTTGAGGTTTCAGAATTTAGAACATTTTTACAGTAAGTGCTTTACCTTTTTTCTCTTTTATTTAAGTCTAATGTAATTGTTTATTTTAAAAGTGTAATATGTGCATGTGTATGTTTTTATGTCATGTATTTTCATATCTATTTTATAACCTTTTAAGAAAAATATATTTATTTAAATTCCAAATTATCTTAGTAATTAGTTTTAGTAGAGGCTAAGCATTGGTATTAGAATATTAGAGGCTTAGAATTGAAAGAGGCTAGTGCTAACTTGAGATTGGTCCTGAGAGAGAAGAAATGGTGTGTTCTCCCATAATTTGCATGGATTACTCTATGCCAGGGTTTCTCAACAGTGGCATTACTGACATTTGTGGTTGGAGAATTCTTTGATGTGGAGGCTGTGCTGTACATTTTAGAATGCTTGGCAGCATCGCTGTCCTCTAGCCACTAGATGCCAGTAGCTCTTCCCTCCCATTCTTACTGAGGGCCCTGTCCCCACTCGAAGCTGCGACAGTCAGCATGTCTGCAGACTTTGCCAAATGTCCTCTGTGGAATAAAACTGATCTCTGTAGTGGACCATTGCTATATGCATACTTCTGTATTATTACTGTGCAAAGCTTTAAATATATTATGTTTGTAAAAATATGAGATCATGACTTTGTATTCTCATGACTGTGGGTGGTCAGAATTTTTGAAAATGAACATCCATCGAACTTCTTGGTAATTTGGGGGACTCATGTTTAGTGAATTTAGAGAATTGTCATCTACTAAATAATGGGAGAAAGTAGTTTAATCTCCTTTCTAAATGAAGATAATTCCATTTTAGTGCTTTATAGTTATCTGAGCATATGTGTAATTATTTGATACTCATTTTTGTTAGATGTACCCTTAAAGTTTTATCTATTTCTCAAAAACCTATTTAAACAACTTTGTGAGGTCTTAAAACACTTTGTGTTTAAGAACACAGACTCTAAGACTAGAATGCCTGGGTTCAAAGTCCCTGTTCTGCCATTTGGAAGCTATGTGCCTCCAACTTAACCCCTCTGTGCTTGGACTTTCCATGTATGTAAAATGCCCAGTACCCAATAAACACCATGAAAATTGTTAACTAAGCTTTTTTTGTTTGTAGATCTTGAAATATTTATTTGTATTCCATTTGAGTAATTTAAATCCTACCCTCTCATAATTTCTTCCTTGTCCAATATATGGAAGTCAGTATTGTTCTATTGACATTTTAGTGGGTTTTTTTGTCATACCATCCCTTATATATACCTAGTCAGCACTTGATTATTGTGCCCTGTTATGAGCAAGGCCCTGTGTAAAGGGCTAGGTATGTACTAGATAGTGATTCTTGATTGTACTGCCTAATAATGACAAGTAAATGTAAAACTGAGTTTTGAAGCCAGTACTGGTAATTATGTCATTGTAGAGTATTACAGATTTGTCAGTTACCCATTTTTAAAAACATCTTTATTGAGAAGTAATTACACATAACAGATATAATTTACCCATTTAGATGTGCATGTCAGTGGTTTTAGTATGTACACAGAGTTGTGCAACCATGATCACAATTTATTTTAGAGCTTTTTCAACACCCCAAAAAGGAACCCCATACCCATTAACTGTTACTCTCCAGTCTGTCACCCCACTGCCCTAGGCAACACTAACCTATTTTTCTGTGTCTATGGATTTACCTATTCTGGACTTTTCACGTAAATGAAGTCATATAATTTTTGGTCTTTTGTGGCTGGTGTGTTTAACTAAGCATAATGTTTTCAAGTTTTATCCATGCTGTTTAACCTATCAGTACCTCATTTCTTTTTATTGCTGAATAGTATTACATTGTATGGCTATACTACATTTTGTTTATCTGTTCTTTAGTTAATGGACATTTATGTTGTTTATGTTATATTCTAATGCTGCTGTGAACATTTGTATGAAAATTTTTGTGTGCACCTGTGTTTTCATTTCTCTTGGGTATATACCTGGGAGTGGAATTATGGATCATAGGGTAACTCTTCTGTTTAAATTTTTAAGGAACTGCCAGGCTCTTTCCAAAGAGGCTATACTATTTTACATTCCCACAAGCAGTGTATGAGGGTTTTAGCTTCTCCACATCCTTGTAACACTTGTTATTATATTCTGTCTTTATTATAGCCATCATAGTGAATGTGAAGTGGTATCTCACTATGGTTTTCATTTTTACTTCCCTGATAGCTAATGATGTTGGCATATTTTCATGTCCTTATTTATCATCTGTATATCTTCTTTGGAGAACTGTCTTCACATTCTTTGTCCATTTTTCAATTGGGTTATTTGTGTTTATTGAGTTAAAGAAGTTATTTATATATATTCTGGGTATTAGATTCTTATCAGACATGTGATTTGCAAACATTTTCTCCCATTCTGTGGATCGTCTTTTCACTTTCCTGATGGTATCATTTGTAACACAAAAATTTTAGAATTTAATGTAACATAGTTTATCTAATTTTTCTTATGTCATAAGAAACCATTGCCTAATCCCAGGTCATAAAAATTCTTATTTTTCTTTTAAAAATTTTATGGTTTTATGCTTTTAGTTCTTACATGTAGGTCTGTGATCCATTTTGAGTTAATTTTTGTGTATAGTGTTAGGAAGGGGTCCAGCTGCATCTTTATGTATGTGGATGTCTAATTGTTCTAGCATCATTTCAGAAGAAACGATTCTTTCTCCACTGGATTGTCTATATATCTTTGTTAAAAATCAGTTTCCCTTTGCTGTGGACTGATTGTTCCCCCTGAAATTCATATATTGATGCTCTAACCCACAATGTGATGGTATTTGGGGATTGTGCCTTTAGGAAGTAATTAGTTTTAGATGAAGTCATGAGTGTTGGACCATCTGTTCTCTCTCTCTTTCTGCTGTATGAGGACACAGTGAGAAGGTGACTGACTGCAAGCCACAAAGAGAGTTCTCACCAGACCCCAGCCATGGTGGCATCCTGATCTGGGGATAACTCCTTATCTCTGGAGTTATCCTCCATAACTGTGAGAATTAAATTTTTGTTCTTTAAGCCACCAGTGTATGATATTTTATTATGGCAGCCTGAACCAACTAATACACACATCAATGTTAGGGTTTATTTCTAGTCTTTCAATTCTATTCCATTACTCTGTATGACTGTCCTTAAGGCCAGTGCCAGTTATCAGTTTGATGTTTATGAGAAATCAACATTGGATTTTTTTTCCTGGATCCTAGGTGTTTTTTTAGGTGTTAGTCTTTTAGTTATTTGCTGACCTGTTTTTGCCTTTGATCAAAGTCATGTTGACTTTAATGTAGAAAATTATTTTTTGTGTAATTAAAATTTACATTTGTGTGATTTGGCATATTTTTCTTCATTTAAATGCTTTGAAAGTTGCTTGAATAATCTGTTTTTCTTTATTATTTCAGAGTTTCTTATATGAAGCTCCTATAAGCATAAATGGAAAATTACCTAACCTTGGCTTCCCCTGTGAGTAAGAACAATATGTAAGACATGCTATAATTTAAATAGATACTTTAAATGCAATTTAGTAAGTCATCATTTTCCAGAATAGATCATATGCTCATCATTGAGTTCCAGCTGTCAGTTTTAAAAGGTATACTTTTTATTTTCTAGTAGGTGGTATAGTGGCCCTGTTATAGGAGCAGGCTCTGTAGTCAAGCCATGTCATGACCTCTGTGTGAACTGGGTCTAATCACTTATCATTAATTTCCTCATTTAAAAAAATGAACATGCCTACCTCACAGTGTTGTTGTGTGGTTTAATGAAATTCTTATAATGCACTTAGCATGGTGGCCTGGTGCTATGAAATTAGACATTTCTTCAGCTATTGAATGCATATTTAGAAGAGTCTTGGGATAGGTCAAAATTCTATATATCAGAGAAAGGGAGAAATTACATCAATGTTATCCTTTATTTGTTGTCATTAAAAGTGATAGAAAACAAGATTGAAAGGGTTATTCTTATATGAAGCTCATCACTTAACAGTCCTCTGTTTTAAGCACTTAATCACATTCTATTTTGTATTCGATTAGCCATGTATGTCTGTGGTTATGTAAGCTCCTCGAGATTAGATATGTCATTGATGTGCATATCCCCAGTGGTATCTCATGTAGTGTCCTGCACATAGAAGGTGATGCCTGCCGCCTATCCCATTTTTTTTAGCAGATAGCATTGAAATTTGTCTTTATTAATATAAAACATAAGGAAAGTATTACAATGTAAAATATTTTTAAAATTTTAGTAAAAATTGTAGTAACATATGTTTTTGAATTTTTACTGTATAAATTCAGTCCTTGTAAATATCTTCAGTGCATATCCTTTCTATTTAAATCACCAAGTAAAGATTTTGAAATAAGTCTTTATTTTAGAGTCCTTTGGTATGTACTTGAGTTAGAGTAGGAAATATTATCTTAGAAAAAAATATTTTATATACAGTGACTTCAGATATGGCTCAAATTACTGGCAATGGGAAGTAGTTCTTGCTTTATGACATCATCATTAAAATTCAGTTAAAACTAAAACTCATTATTAAAATTAGTATCATAAAAATTTCGATTTCCCAAGAAGACTTACCCTGTTATAGTTGTCAGATAGTGTGTGTGCAGGAAAGAAAAGATGGAAGACCTCTGCATTTTCAATTTAACATCAGTAACTGGGAGATGCTAGGGTAAACTGTCCCTCAGGTAAACACATGGAACAGCACAGAATAGAGGATTTCATTTCTCTGGTAGCTTTCTCAGGTAGTGATTATTTTTTCTCCTACATTCCTTATACTAGTAGGGCTGCAAGTGGATGAGATGTGTTTTGTTGTATTAACCATATATAACTATATTAAATGTATTTTCTTATTTTCTGAATTCTTAATGCTCTGGCATCTGGGGCCTCACTAACTGGGAAGAGACTGCCCTTGCCAGGGTTAGCTAAGTCCTGTGAACATGCCTTTGTCAGGCTAACCAACTAATCCTGGATCCCTTCCAACAACCACCTCCTCTGTCTGTTTTTTTACACTCC